TGACAATAAAAGGTTCCCCTCGCTCTCGACGTCGGGTACTGCAGTTCTACGGGTGCATGAGTATGCCTCCTCAAGCACCCGGGCGTCAAAATAGAAGAAGTCCAAGGGAAGAACCAGAACGAGCAAAAGGTCGGCAGGAAACGGCAAGCAGATAGGAGAAGAGGGGGGAGAAAAACGAAACAGAAGGAAAAGGAAAAGATGCCCAGCAGAATTGGAGAGGACGGCAGCAGGAGCACAAGGCTAGAAAAGGACAGAGGACTGTCCCAAGGAGCATCACACTCCGGCAGCCGCCCACTAAGCCCCTACACGGCGACAACGAGCTAAGCGGGGAGGGGGCAGCTGACAGAAGCTGTGCAACTGGTCATGGAAACTGCAGACGTCTTTATGAATCCTGACTAAAACCTATAATTTTCAGCATTGATAAATATTAGCTACTCTTTGAAGACTTCCTACACCATCTCATCTTCGTCTTCAATATTGTATTTTCCTAATTTAAAGATACTTACTGTATAAATGGCGGTGATAATTCTCTGCTACTGCTGTTGTTGATGATTTAGGAGTCGAAACGGCAGTAGCGCCGTATGTGTTCCAGTGTCCCCATTAAGGGTAAAACGCAAAGCCTTATGGTTGTATGAACGTCGGCTGTCGGCAGAAACGAAGGCGCCTTGTGCCGAATAAACACACTGATACTTGTTTGGTAAGCCCCGGGAGTCCCTCAGGGAGGTAAGCACCGGCCCCAGCCACGCACAGAGAACACGGAGAAGCCAAACAAAGTCACGGCATTAACGTGTCCCCATAAACTCGTACCCAAGTACTCAAATGGGTAAAAACTCAAAAACGTCTTCCAGTGACCTCCGGCAGAGTAGGAGCCAGCCGCCCCCCACGCCCTCAGGGCACACCGGGAGCCAGCCGCCCCCCCACACCCTCAGGGCACACCGGGAGCCAGCCCCCCCCCACGCCCTCAGGGCACACCGGGAGCCAGCCGCCCCCCACACCCTCAGGGCACACCGGGAGCCGCCGCCCCCCCACACCCTCAGGGCACACCGGGAGCCAGCCCCCCCCCCCCCCCACGCCCTCAGGGCACACCGGGAGCCACCGCCCCCCGCACCCTCAGGGCACACCGGGAGCCAGCCGCCCCCCGCACCCTCAGGGCACACCGGGAGCCACCGCCCCCCGCGCCCTCAGGGCCCACCGGGAGCCACCGCCCCCCGCACCCTCAGGGCACACCGGGAGCCAGCCGCCCCCCACACCCTCAGGGCACACCGGGAGCCAGCCGCCCCCCACACCCTCAGGGCACACCGGGAGCCAGCCCCCCCCACGCCCTCAGGGCACACCGGGAGCCACCGCCCCCCGCACCCTCAGGGCACACCGGGAGCCACCGCCCCCCGCACCCTCAGGGCACACCGGGAGCCACCGCCCCCCGCACCCTCAGGGCACACCGGGAGCCACCGCCCCCCACACCCTCAGGGCACACCGGGAGCCAGCCCCCCCCCCCCCACGCCCTCAGGGCACACCGGGAGCCACCGCCCCCCGCACCCTCAGGGCACACCGGGAGCCAGCCGCCCCCCGCACCCTCAGGGCACACCGGGAGCCACCGCCCCCCGCACCCTCAGGGCACACCGGGAGCCACCGCCCCCCGCACCCTCAGGGCACACCGGGAGCCACCGCCCCCCGCACCTTCAGGGCACACCGGGAGCCACCGCCCCCCGCACCCTCAGGGCACACCGGGAGCTACCGCCCCCCGCACCCTCAGGGCACACCGGGAGCCAGCCGCCCCCCACACCCTCAGGGCACACCGGGAGCCAGCCGCCCCCCACACCCTTAGGGCACACCGGGAGCCAGCCGCCCCCCACACCCTCAGGGCACACCGGGAGCCAGCCGCCCCCACACCCTCAGGGCACACCGGGAGCTACCGCCCCCCGCACCCTCAGGGCACACCGGGAGCCAGCCGCCCCCCACACCCTCAGGGCACACCGGGAGCCAGCCGCCCCCCACACCCTTAGGGCACACCGGGAGCCAGCCGCCCCCCACACCCTCAGGGCACACCGGGAGCCAGCCGCCCCCCATCACCCTCAGGGCACACCGGGAGCTACCGCCCCCCCGCACCCTCAGGGCACACCGGGAGCCAGCCGCCCCCCACACCCTCAGGGCACACCAGGAGCCAGCCGCCCCCCACACCCTCAGGGCACACCGGGAGCCAGCCCCCCCCCCCCCCCACGCCCTGAGGGAAAACCGGAAGCCAACCCACTCCTGGCCACTAGCTCCCGGACAAGCCAGCGCCGGACACCGTCTCCTCGCCCGCAGAACAGACAGGAAACGGGAAGAAATCTATCAGGTTCACTGTGACTCCAAGCTGTTTATAATAATAAGAACAGTTGATTGTAAAGTTTCATGCTTGTCAACTGTTTAATAAATGTAACCAAAAGCGTCAGAGATTGAGGAAAGATGTACATGTTCGTAAGTACTTGCGTAACAGCTTCGTGAATCTGGCTCCAGGAATCTAATCTTCAACTGCTCCTGTGCTTCTTTATTAATGTGAACAAACGCTCTCTCTCGCCCCTCGCACTCTTGGGACCCATTAGAATAAGTAAATAACTAATCCTCCATAATATAATCTTTATTCATAAACAATAAAGATCAAAACTTAATTTTTAAAGTAATCCTAAACTACAATAAATACAAAAATATTAATATTTATTATCTGAATTTATCTTGGATTCGACAGATATATTATTCGTAAAATAGAGTTCATGACATCATAATTCATTAACTTCAACATCTAGCCTTGCTCATCTACCTTAGTGGCTCTAAGATGGTTAAGTTTACTTTACTATTTAGTGATTAGGTAAATTGGATTAACTGGGCTCTTTTGTCCTGCCAGGTGCTTGTATTCACCTAACAGCTTCCTTATAGCCTGCTAGGGGATTGTAACCATCCACAAGCTTTGTTATGGCGACCAGTTGATTGTACCCACCTATCAGGCTCCGTTATGGCCTGTCAGTGACTTGTACCCACCTGCCAGTATTAGTAATTGGTCCTGTTATGTGTTTATAATCACCTACAGGCTGTGCTATGGTCTGTAGCCACCTATTAGGCTTTGTTATTGTCTGTACCGAAGTACCAGGCTTCGTTATGGTTTGTTAAGTGCCTGTACTCACCTACCAGGCTTGGCATAACAGGTGCTTATACCAACCTACCAGTCTATTAAGGCCCGCCAAGTTATTAGATCCGTGTTTCGGCCACTATGGACCAGCAACCGGGATCTATATGTTTTAGCCTCTTTTTGGATATCCTACCGCAAGTCAGTAGTAAGCTTTCAAGAAACTGGCTGTATCAAGTAGTAGTGCAATGCATAAATAAGGGGGTGGGGGTAAGCAAGACAATTTCCTTAAAAATAAATAAAATAAATAAATAAAAAATAAATATATATATATATATATATATATATATATATATATATATATATAATATATTATATATAATAACTTTTATAATATATTTACTATCTGTACGTACAACTGCCTCTTTCACTCAGGGCACAATACGATGACAGTGTTCATCAAGCCCAGTGAACCCACATTCCAAGTATACATTGTCCACTGGCAAACACTGGCGAGTTAACCTTTTACAAGGGCCAGACCACCCCACACAGTATCATGAAGTGCCTACCTCACCTCCGCTCTCCAGGTACTCACTGGCAGAGGGCTTCAGCAGCACGCTGACAGGGGTCCAACCTAACACACAAACAGTGGTAATTAACACCCTAGCAGAAACCTCAAGCAGCTTCCTAGCAGCAACTCTCAATTGACACATCACTGTCTTCCTCAACTCTTAAAAGCCAATCCCAGGTACGTCGCTCTTCAAAAAACACTATATATCAGCAGCTAACACACACTGCTCGGATCAACGGTGGCTACTTAGTCCTCTCGCAAGACCAAGCTAAGAGTTCGTGGACTGCCCAAGGTGAACTGCCCTTCTCAGCTCAATTGCCTCCATATGTCACTTCTGTGGACATAAAAACGTCATTAGCCAGATGGACAGTACACTGGGTAACCCTAGGATAAAACTCGACTACTGGGGACTTGACATTGTGACTTGTAGCCACAACCTAGATGGCGCTGATCTTGATACGCCACCCACCAGAGGTCAACCACATCGACCTCCTCTTCTGACTCGGGCAGGAAATTGGAGCCTTCCACCGATACCACGCCACTACCAACATATGGCGTTGTCTACATAGCGTCCAATACTAGGGGAGTTGGAGTGCAGACCCATAGATGGCGCTGAAATCGCCACTCCATACTCCAGCGTTGATGTCGATACAGTAAGAATCCGCCTACCACGCTTCGTCTGTCACGTGTTTATACTCGACTATCTGGAAATTATTGAAGCCTGCTAGTTGCTTGCTAGTTGATGTCATGTGTGTGTCTAAAGCTCAAGGCCTATGAGTGTTGTGAGATATTTGTGGGTATTGTGGGTTGTTTGTGAGCATTGTGAGATGCTTGTGAGTATTGTGAGATGTTTGTGAGTATTGTGAGATGCTTGTGAGTGTTGATGGATGCTTGTGAGTGTTGTGGGATGCTTGTGAATGTTGTGGGATACTTGTGAGTGTTATGGGATGCTTGTGAGTGCTATGGGATGCTTATGAGTGCTGTGGGACAATCTTGAAAGAGTTGTTAGTATTAGTAGAGAAATCTTGAACAAGATAAAAGAATTTCCCTTTGCAATATAGTAAAGTAATTGTTTTCATGTTTGGTGTATATTATTGTGAGTTATTGGGTAAATCGTTCCTCGTATTTTTGAAGGCATCATTTTGTCAAATAATTTTTGTTGGTGGATATTTTCGTTCCAAGTTAGTTTTGGATTTATTGTTTTTCTTTGATCATTTTAGATTCCATTAAATTTATACTCTACAGGAGTTTTCATAACTAATTTCACACATTAATTAACATGTGACTCTCATTCACAATAGGTAAAATATTGGAGATATAATAAACGAGTAACTTTTTTGTTAAACATTTATTTCAGAACATAACGTACACAAGTTCATCCTAATGACAACTGCTAAATCTAGTTTCTTATGTAAGTTATAAATCTTTATTTATTTGGAAATAACAAGTAGTCGTCAAACTATATCTGTGTAAATACCCAAGACAAATCTGGAAAATAGGTAAGGACTCCTCACTAGGGGAAAAGTTTCTGTTTAGCTTTTTCTGTGGGTCCCTCTTGTGAGCCTTCTCCATGGGGTCCCCATAGGAAGGTCTCTCCTGATTGGTTATTACTTTGGAGGTTCTACAAGGCGTATATCCTTCGGGACCTGCGGGTTTATCCTTCGTCACATAGGGTCTGTCCTTAGTGACCTAAGCTAGTCTCGCCTGGGTAGCTTTTCTATAAGGATATAATTCTGGGAGCTCTCCAAGGGTTGGTCTACTCTTCGTTACCTGCTAGGGCCTGTCCTCGAACTCTTCCCTAGAGGTTCCCAAATAAGGTTCTTTCCTGGAAGATCATTACTTTAGGGACCTCCAAGGTGTCTTCCTAAGTGGTGGTTTACCCTTCGTGTCCAAGACCACAGCAGAACGAGTCGTGTTCTGTGTGGTTGTGACCAAAGACATCGTGGTTGTCGCCGGAGTTGATGCAATGGTCGTGGTGGGGATGCGTCAAGTCTCCATGGAGCTGTGGACAGAGTAAGTCTGTGAAACAATCTTTATTTATCTTTTGAGTGCATGTGTGTGTGTGTGTCTAGAGTGCGTATTTGTATGTGCCTGTCTGTGCAATTGTGTGTGTGTATGTACGTGTATACGTACTCATGTGTGTGTGCTTAGCGAGCATGATGTTTAACTTTTGTAGGTAGGATAGGCGCAGTCGGTTTACGACCGCAAGGCTCCGGGTTCGATTCCCGCGGCAGGACAGATACCTTTGGGCACGTTTTCTTTCACCTGATGCCGCTCTGTTCATCCAGTAGTAAATAGGTATTCGGTAGTTAAGCAACTGTTTTGGTATGCATCCTGGGAACGGTCAATAGTTGGGTTCCTGTCCCCGACAATAGGGAACCAATGGCAACCAAATTTAATCTTTACGTCATATTTGTTAAATTTGCATCTCTTATTATTGTTGTGATAAATTATTATAAATATTATTATATTACTGTTGATGTTATTACTATAATGTTTGTGTGACGAGGATTACCTCAGGGCAGACGAGGCAGCCGCACTCATTCTTGACGAGTGTGTCGCCTGGCCGGCAGTATGATGACACGTCCAAACACTTGTTGGGGTTACACTTGGTACAGTCGTGGACAACCTTCTTCTCCCCCTGGGGCGATGGCTGGCTGCAGGTGTGGACAACAGACTAGTGTATTTGACTGGAGACAGATATGCGTTACAGGAAACAGATGTGGTGGACGGGAGGCAGCTATGGGGGAGTAGGTGGGGGGGGGGGGGGAGGGGACATGTGTGTTGAGCGCAAGTTAGCGACCTCATTCATAATTACTGGACCTTGAGCATCGCAATAGGCAGAAGACTGAGTGACAAATAACACTTAAAATAAGAAGTGAGAGAGCAGCTCCCATTGAAGCTTAAAATAAAACAAAACACAAACATTTAATGGACCATTTCTATAAGGTCTGTAATAGTAATCAAACAAGAGCTGACGCCAGTCTAATCGCCTTGCAGAAAGACTTTTTCCCACTGTATTTAACATAAGAAAGTTTGCCTACAAAATAAAACTTATCAAGAACAGAACTCAGTATGTAAATATAACACGATAAATTAACATTCCTCTGCAATGCTAATAGTGACAGTAAGAGACTGACTACTAGTGCCTGTTTCTGTTCTCTAACCGACTCCTTTCTCCTATCAACGGAAGGACAGCAGTAGATAGGAAAGGAGAAGTGTAGTCGGTACAACACCGAACATGACTTTTGTCTCACCTGAGAACACAGACGGCCAGGCAGACGACAAGAACGACGCGCAGCATTTTGATGGAGTAGTGTTAATGTACAAGACCTGTGATGGTGGACAAGGTAGAAGGTTCCGTGTGTCTGCTCTTCCGCTCTCACCGCCGACCACTGAACCCTGCTCGGTACACCGGCTCGTTTTATACCTCGCGCTACGTTGCCAACACCAAGACTTTTAGGCGAAAAACAGGTGCAGCTAAAAAAAAAAAAAAAAAAAAAAGTGACGAGAGGGAATTGGGAATACCGCGAAACAAAATAAAGCTAAGAACTACTTCGGTTCATACAAATAAATATCTGTGGTAACATTTGGAAGTTTTGATACATTCTCGAACTCCATATTTAATTTCCATTCATTTTCTTCCATTTTGAAATAAGCAGATTAAGGACATTCTTTTAATTCTTAGATGATTGTCATGAAGCAGCGGTCTTACGACCCCATTAAGTATACATATGCACCCCATTCTTAATTAGGATGAGATCTTTCTGTTTAATATCACTATGATCAGGGTTTCAACGACACGAAATACATCCCCTTTATAATTTATGTTGAAGTTTTTCACATCATTATTCCTAATACACCCTCTTGTCAGTGTTGGTCTTATAGTTAGTCCAAAAACACCCTCCTGTCAGTGTTGGCCTTATAGTTAGTCCAGATACACCCTCCTGTCAGTGTTGGCCTTATAGTTAGTCCAGATACACCCCCCTGTCAGTGTTGATCTTATAGTTAGTCCAGATACACCCCCCTGTCAGTGTTGATCTTATAGTTAGTCCAGATACAGTGTTGATCTTATAGTTAGTCCAGATACACCCCCCTGTCAGTGTTGGTCTTATAGTTAGTCCAGATACACCCTCCTGTCAGTGTTGGTCTTATAGTTAGTCCAGATACACCCCTCTGTCAGTGTTGGTCTTATAGTTAGTCCAGATACACCCCCTGTCAGTGTTGATCTTATAGTTAGTCCAGATACACCCTCCTGTCAGTGTTGGTCTTATAGTTAGTCCAGATACACCCTCCTGTCAGTGTTGGCCTTATAGTTAGTCCAGATACACCCCCCTGTCAGTGTTGGTCTTATAGTTAGTCCAGATACACCCTCCTGTCAGTGTTGGCCTTATAGTTAGTCCAGATACACCCCCCTCCCTGTCAGTGTTGACCCTTATAGTTAGTCCAGATACACCCCCTGTCAGTGTTGGCCTTATAGTTAGTCCAGATACACCCCCCTGTCAGTGTTGATCTTATAGTTAGTCCAGATACACCCCCCTGTCAGTGTTGATCTTATAGTTAGTCCTGACACCCCCCCCCCTGTCAGTGTTGGTCTCACCTTTATTCCTGACACCCCCCCCTGCCAGTGTTGGTCTCACCTTTAGTCCAGTCACCTCTCCCCCCCTGCCAGTGTTGGTCTCACCTTTTGTCCAGTCACCTCCCCTCTTCCTGCCAGTGTTGGTCTCACCTTTTGTCCAGTCACCTCCCCCCCTGCCAGTGTTGGTCTCACCTTTAGTCCAGTCACCTCCTCCCCTGCCAGTGTTGGTCTCACCTTTAGTCCTGCACCCCCCCCCCCTGCCAGTGTTGGTCTCACCTTTAGTCCAGCACACCCCCCCCCCTGCCAGTGTTGGTCTCATAGTCCAGCACCCCCCCCCCCTGCCAGTGTTGGTCTCACCTTTAGTCCAGTCACCTCCCACCCTCCTGCCAGTGTTGGTCTCACCTTTAATCCAGTCACACCCCCCCTGCCAGTGTTGGTCTCATCTTTAGTCCAGTCACCTCTCCCCCCCTGCCAGTGTTGGTCTCACCTTTTGTCCAGTCACCTCCCCTCTTCCTGCCAGTGTTGGTCTCACCTTTTATCCAGTCACCTCCCCCCCTGCCAGTGTTGGTCTCACCTTTAGTCCAGTCACCTCCTCCCCTGCCAGTGTTGGTCTCACCTTTAGTCCTGCACCCCCCTGCCAGTGTTGGTCTCACCTTTAGTCCAGCACCCCCCCCCTGCCAGTGTTGGTCTCATAGTCCAGCACCCCCCCCCTGCCAGTGTTGGTCTCACCTTTAGTCCAGTCACACCCCCCCTCCTGCCAGTGTTGGTCTCACCTTTAATCCAGTCACACCCCCCCTGCCAGTGTTGGTCTCACCTTTAGTCCAGACACCCCCCACCCTGCCAGTGTTGGTCTCACCTTTAATCCAGACACCCCCCCCCCTGCCAGTGTTGGTCTCATCTTTAGTCCAGACACCCCCCCCCCTGCCCGTGTTGGTCTCACCTTTAGTCTAGACACACCTCCCCCCCTGACCAGTGTTTTTTTTTTTTTGGGGGGGGGGAGTAAAGAGGAAGGAGAGGCATAGGTGAAGGGAAGTATAGAAGTGGGAAATACAGTGAGAGGTATGAAAGCAGGCGGGCTGTCCGCCTTGCTGACACCATGTGTGGGTGTTGGCAGCTAAGCTAAGCTGGCTCCCTCTTGTCAGGGAGCTGTGAGTGTGTGAGAGGTTCTTCACATTTGTTTCACCATATATGGATGTCCATAGATGAATACTGTGTATCATTCATATATACACACTCCGATGCTTCCACACATGTTATTCTGTTTAAGGCTCTTTATTTTATTATTATTATTTATCGAGTTGTCATACATATTATTTATCGAGTTGTTCATACATACACATATATGAACTGTTCATATATATACATATATAACTCATCTGGGGACTATATACTGTGGGGCGGGATTTTCGTCCAGAGAATCGAGGCTCTTGGGCCACCAGCTGTGGGAGCGGAGACCAGTGTTGGTCTCACCTTTAGTCCAGACACCCCCCCCCCCCCTGCCAGTGTTGGTCTCACCTTTAGTCCAGACACCCCCCCCCCTGCCAGTGTTGGTCTCACCGTTAGTCCAGACACCCCCCCCCCCCTGCCAGTGTTGGTCTCACCTTTAGTCCAGACACCCCCCCCCCCCTGCCAGTGTTGGTCTCACCGTTAGTCCAGACACCCATCCCCCCCTGCCAGTTGGTTGCATATTATCTTCACGCATCCATCGTGTCTCGTGGCTACACAGCTGACATACAGAAAACCCTACGATTTCGCACTCCTCGGACGCCCCCGCGTCCGAAATTTTTCCCCATGTGTCTGAACAACCCGTTCTTGCAAATTCGTAAAGTCAATATTGACTTATTAACTACGTGCATAGGTGATATACTAAACATAATAGATACCCTTAAAAAGATTCATAGATAACACCGACCTTACCTAACCTTGTTAGTATATTAAGATAAGCATCTTATTGCTTCGTAATTACAATTATTACTTAACCTATACCTATTATAGGTTAGGTAATAATTGTAATTACGAAGCAATAAGATGCTTATCATAACATACTAAGTAGGTTAGGTAAGGTCGGTGTTTTCTATGAATCTTTTTAAGGGTATCTATTATGTTAAGTATGTCACCTATGCACATATTTAATAAGTCAATATTGACTTATTAAATTTGCGAGAACGGGTTGGTCTGAACCGTGAAAGCGATTGGCGTTTAATTATTAAAATATTTTTTAAAAATTTAAATTTTTTCCGATCAATCTGGAAGTAGTTTTAAAATGAGCGCCTTTATATTGCGCACAATTTGACACAAAAATGACGATTGATGTAGCCTTACAATTGACGTCAGAACACTTGAAAGATTATAAATACGTTTTGCATTCAAAATTTTAAATATTTGCTTAAATTTCATTTATTGTGCTACTATTATGTGGTCTAGTTTTAAAATGCACGCCTTTAGATTGCGAACATTTTGATACCAAAATGAAAGATGTAACACGAACATTTCTGTCAGAACACTGGAAAGATATAAATAATTTTGTGATGATTCGCCTCCAGATGTCGCAGGGCTGAACGTAACTCCGGTTGGAGATATATTATACTGTCGACGTTCTTCTACCTGTGCTATAAGAGAGGAAGTCAAGCGGTTCATGCAGTCAGGTTATTGAGTTTAAAGGGGGTCTGGGGTTTCTGGAGGGAGGGGGGGGGGGGGTTCATATACTTAGCTGAGAGTGACCTGGGGACCCCGGGGTGTCGGGGGTGGGGGGGTGGAGGAGGACGTATCTTGTTTCTGTTCAGTGACTCTGAGTCTGGACCAGGTTTCATTTATCTGGTCTTCCAGGGAGACCATGCTTGGGGGAGCCGGTCGGCCGAGCGGACAGCACGCTGAACTTGTGATCCTGTGGTCCCGGGTTCAATCCCGGGCGCCGGCGAGAAACAATGGGCAGAGTTTCTTTCATCCTATGCCCCTGTTACCTAGCAGTAAAATAGGTACCTGGATGTTAGTCAGCTGTCACGGGCTGTTTCCTGGGGGTGGAGGCCTGGTCGAGGACCGGGCCGCGGGGACACTAAAGCCCCGAAATCATCTCAAGATAACCTCAAGATATGAGCGTCCACAATTAAAATATTTGTTAAAATTCCAGTTATTGTTCTATTATTATCGGAAAAGTTTTAAAATGCGCGCCTTTATATTCCGAACAATTTGATAAAAAAATGAAAGACGTAACACGAAAATTGATGTTATCAAACTGAACGAGTATACACATTAGGCTGAGGTGTGCAAATTGGTGCTCGTTCACGGGTAACTTTAGACTTTGCTGCGGGAATCACGCCGGGCTTTTGGACATTATATGCATATACACTTTTAGGGAATTTAATTGCGAACACAATGATACCAAAACGAACGACGTAGCACGAGAATTAAGGTGAGAATACTGAAACAAGTAAACACATTCCGGTGTGGAAGCGCGATCACCCGCACCCTCGCCCGGACGCCCGGTGCATGACCTCTAAGTTGGCGGCGCGCATGCCAGGGGTGCGAAAGTGTTTTTAAATGCGCATGTATAAAAGCTAACGCTAAGTATAACAAGTTATACATAATAACACTGGTGTGTTTAGGTGTGTATTGCTGCAACAACATCTATTCTGTCCATGTGGTCCTGCAACATATAACACTACGAGTATGACATTAAAGTACGCAGATGACCTCCCAGTGTTGATATGATCTAGATAGACCACGGTGATGACCTTTGATGACCATCATGTCCTCCCGCTCTCCTGACATCTTAGGATATATAGTGTTAATATAAAGTTTTGTTTAAACGTTGGTAATGACAATACAGTTGTCTAT